TCTCAGCTGTATAACACCCTGCAACAGCTGTGCAGAAGGATGCGAGACGTACAAGAGACATGCCATGAATGCTGTAGTGTCACAGTGGAGTAACAAAGCTCTTGGGGTTATTGATCAAGTGCTGCTTTGTCCTTTCATAAGCTCCAAGAACTTCACAAGTTGGAGGCATTTGAGTCAGTACTATTGGTGGCAGTTCCCAAATGCTTGATCAAGTATAAACCTGGCAAACATTCCTCCAAAAGCTCCCCTTGAGCCCCCACAAAACTCCAGTCAGTAACTCCTCTTTCTGCCTGGAACTGTTCCTGTCCTCTGCACACATTCTTCCTTCCAACTGCAAGCACTGCCACTACTACATGGCAGAGACATAAATCCTTTGGAAAAAGAGAAGTGGAATTAGAAGTGCTGACACTCAGCTGGAGAAATCCAGGGCAAGGAGAACAATTCACATGCAAGTGTGGAACTTAGCTATAATCCTGTTTTCCTGACCACTTTTCCTGATAGTTTTTCATGACAGACGAACTCTCTGCAGAACCAAGATATGAACTCTCATATCTTGGCTGCTCAGTTTGAAATCCAAGCTAGTTTCTGCAATGGTACCATTTGCATAGAAAACACATGAACAAGACCCTTTCAACTCCTACATATGGTTGTGGGTCTGTCCTCCCACTCCAAGTCCAGACAGGGCAGCTGGGGCCCCCCTTGGAGAGGGATGGCTGCTTCGGAAACATCCTTCCTGTGAATCATCACGAGGAGAGCAGGCAGGCTGGAGAGATGCAAGGAACAGGGTCGCGCTGCAATGCAGTCACAAGGTCAGGAAGATCTTCACAACCCCAACATGCTTCTTTCCCTCTCTGCCTGCCCTTCCAGCACATGGCTGAGGGAAGAGTGCAGACAAGTGAAGCATCTGCTCTCTGGCATCCCAATGGCAATCCTACCCTTGCTGCCTGCTAAATACATCTCTCCCTACTGCACATTCCCTGCTGCTAGCTGAAGGTAAACAGATCAGCAG